GTTTCAGAGCATGAGGTGATCAAGACATAGTAGTTCTGACCAGAGGTAACAGGACCAGTAGGTGGCATGTTGATTCCTTATCTATCGAATCATCTCCAAATTCATTCCTTTTTTTGATTGTTCTCAGAAAGAGGCAGCCAGATTACTCACCCGCTAGCCAAGATGGGTCACAACCTATGCTAGGCATGCAGAGCTTTTGAGAAGCCCCAGGTTAGCAGGAATGCTGCAGAAGCAATTGTACAAGATTGGGCTGAGTTTTGCCAACTCTTCCCTAATAACAGGGAACACATGTTGTGTACCGAGGAAGTCTTTTTGCCTTTGCAGGAGTCCTTGCTTTCATTTAAAGAATACAAGCTCCCTAAATAGTGTAGCTGGGTTTAGTTTTAGTTTAAATTCTATAGCTTATCTGTTTGCTCCCCTGTTTTCCTTTTCTTTCTTAAACCAAAAGGACAAAAGTGTGTGCTTTCCATTGAGGCAGAAAGACATGGGAAAAATACTTTCTCCACCCAACTGAGAGTAATGTTTAGAGACAGCCAACTATTATCTGACTATTTTTTGTTGTCTTGTCATTTTACCAAAAGTATCTAGTTACATGGAAAGGTTGTACTCTTCTGAGCCCTCAGGTACAAACTCTCTAGAAGTAATTTTAGGCATGGAAGTACCTTATCCATGGTGACTATGTACCTATTTTGATCAACAACAAAAAAGTAAGTCACCTTCAAATGAACATAGTGAATCTTAATCTAACTTCATTCCCATTCTGCTTAGAGAAATTTAACTGAAATTTATAATAAAATGGCATAATAACTTTGCTGTAACATATCAATGCCTAGCTAAAATTAGTGTGTGTGTGTGTGTGTGTGTGTGCGTATGTGTGTGTATGTGTGTGTATGTGTGTGTATGTATCTCTTCAGGTATTTTTTAGCTCTTTTAAAAATAAAATTCCTTTAGTATTGAACACCTAGAGTTTCAATTGAGGTAGTAAAGTAGGCAGTTGGCTACTGATTAGCATATATTTTAAGCATGAACTGATTAACCTAAGGAGAAGAGATCAACAGCTTTTTGGAACATGCAGCATTTCAGAGATGTTGTGCCGTGCCCATTGGCAGCTTTGTGTGGAGTTTAAACCCCTCTTCTTTACCTTTTGCACATTTGTCTGCAAATGTGCACTCAAGGAGTTAGTCTTAATAAATGTCTGAATTTTTCCCATGTTTCTACCATGTTTATTACTAAGTCACTTTGCAAAATGAATAGTTAATGCTCAGAGTTGGGTGATGGTTAATCTAGAAACTTAACAAATAGTTTATAATCTTATTATGCCCTTGAAATATTCTAAATGAAGCAGATAGTTTTGAGGCTCTCCTAAGAGAGTTTAGTTGATGGGAGTACCAAAAGCCTTTATAAAAGCAGCTTTTTCCTGTAAGGGAATCTCATGCCATAAGTTGCAATGACATTATTATCACAAGGTTATTGTGTAGCACCTTGCATTTATCTAATGGTAGACATACGGGGAAAGAAGTATATTTTAAAATAGTGTCTGGTGGTTGATAGTATTATCTTCATTTGAAAGATGGAAGAACAGAGGTCCAGAGAGGTCAACCCACATGTCCAACTTATAAGAAGTCATTGCCATGGATTGAATTCTCAAGGTTCCAATCCTGTACTGTATCCACTCCTGTCACTCAGCTGTGAAGCCATCAAGATTTACTATAGGCAGAACTAAAAACTGCAGGACCTCCTTCACTTGTGATGTATCAGAGAGATAAGGGCCAATCACTTGACACAATAGATTGAGGCTGATTGCATGTGAAGGACATGGGCTAGACTAGATGATTTAAAAGGACTTTTTTTTTTTTTTTGGTCCATGCCTAAAATGACCATTGAAGCCCTTCACTTAGGGAAAAAAAAGACACTGTAAAGATGTTTCATTAATTTCCTGTTCTGCCCTAGCAGGTTTGGTTCAGTGGATAGAGAATTGGCCTGCAGAACAAAGGGTCCCGGGTTCAATTCCAGTTAAGGGCACTTATCTTGGTTACAGGCTCCTCCCTGACCCAGGCCCTGCTTGGGGCTCATGCAGGAGGCAACCAATCGATGTGTTTCTCTCACATTGATGTTTCTCTCTGTCTTTCCCTCTCTCTTCCACACTCATTAAAAATCAATGGAAAAATATCTTTGGGTGAAGATTAACAAAAACAAAATTAAAAATAATTTCCCAGTCCTGAATTTTGTAGCCTTTTTATGTCTAGCTGGTAAAGATTGTCATTGGATGAACAGAGCTGATGATGTCACTCTGTCTAATCCACCATACTCCATCACCCTTGTACACTGAGTAACTCCACTTTCTGTCCCTGGTCTTTTCTGAACACATGCAGAAAAACATGCATAAACACTGACTTGGCTTTTCTGTATGAAACCTTTTTAACATAACAGAAAAGAGCAGAAAATAAAACATTTATATGCCCACGACCAATATTAAATCTCTGTTAACATCTTGCCACATTAGTTTCATAGTGCTCTTTCTTTTTAAAGAAACAAAAGACCTGTGTAAAGCTCCACCCCCCATTTTCTTCCCAGAGTTAACCACTCTTCTGAAATTGGATTTGGTTTGTATCCTTTCATGTATAGTTTCATGAGTTTACTATGTAAGTACCCATCACTAAAATTTACTAAAATGGGTTTTGCCCCTAAAATTTGCATAAATATTATATATGTTTTGTCAATTAATTTTTTTCAAGCAGCATTGTTTCTAGATTTGTCCATGTTGATACAAATAGATCTAAACAATTTGTTGCTGTGGAATATTTCATTGCTTAAATAAACCAAACTTTAACTATTCATTTCCTCTCCTGATGGACATTATAATTTAAAAATTTTTATTTTTTAAATATATTTTTGTAGACATTTTAGAGAGAGGAAGGAAGAGGAAGAGAGAGAGAAGCATCTATGTGAGAGTGGAACATTGATCAGCTGTCTCCTGCATCCCCCCCACAGGGGATCAAGCCTGCAACCTGGGCATGCGCCGCAACTGGGAATCGAACTTCAACCTTTCAGTGCTGGGGGCCATGCCCAAGCAACTGAGCCAGGGCTTAACTAATTCTTTTTACCACCATGAACAAGGCTTCAATAAACTTCCTTAAACTTGTAGCATGGAATTCATTTACAATATTTTTCTGGTTAAATATAATTGAGTTTTCACCTTCAAATTTAGTAGATATACAGGTTGCCTTCCAAAGTGATAGTATCTGCTTTCACTCCTATCAGAGACATATAGCTATTCCTGTTTCCTTATATTCTCACCAACATTTAATGTTATTAGACTTCCTAAGTTTTCTAGTCTAATAGATGATATACAATCTTATTACTGGTGGGGTTCAATATCTTTTCATAGTTACTGGTCATTGGACTCTCTTCCTTTGTGAATTGCCTCACTTAGTTCTTTTCCTATTTTTCCTTTGAACAGGTTATGTTTTTCTAATTGATACTGATCTTTTGTTAGTTATATATTTTGAAAATATCTCCTTTCAGTCTGTGGCTTATTTTCTCACTTTATTTGTGGTTTTCCAATCTTTTCTTTTTTTAATTTTCTTTTTTTTAGATCAGTTTTTTCAATTACAGTTGACATAAAATATTACATTAGTTTCAGGTGTACACCCCAGTGATTAGACACTATATAACTTACTAAGATTCATCCACCTATATCTCATACCTATCTGATGCTATACTTAGTTATTAGAATACTATAGGCCCGGTGCATGAAATTCATGCATGGAGAGGGGAATGTCCCTCAGCCTGGCCTGCACCCTCTCCAATCTGGGACCCCTCGGAGGTTGTCCGACTCCCTCTCACAATCCAGGACCGCTGGCTCCTAACCGCTCACCTGTCTGCCTGCCTGATTGTCCCTAACTCCTCTGCCTGCCTGCCTGATCACCCTACCTGCTCCCTTACTGGCCTGATCACCCCTAACCACCTCTGCCTCGCCCCACACCTGGGACCCAGGTTTCTTTCCTCTGGCCAGTCTCAGGCACCCAGGACCTGGGCTTCCCTCCCTCTGGCCAGCCGCAGGCACCCAGGACCCAGGCCAGCTTCGCCCAGGCCAGCCGCAGCCAAAGGTGCCTGGGACCGCAGGGTGGGCAACTTGTCCCTCTCCTGGGCCGCAGCTGCAGGCACTGCATCTGGGACTGCGGGGCAGGTGGCTTGTCCCTCTCCTGGGCCACAGGCGTAGGCACTGGCACCCAGGACCGTGGGGTGGGTGGCTAGTCCCTCTCCTGGGCTTCAGCCTGGCTGGTCCCCATTCCTCTCCCCCCAGCTCATTTGTGCCTGGCTGGTCCCCATTCCTCTCTCCCTAGTGTTGTGTGTCTGAGCAGTTCCAGTGTGAGGGTGTGAAGGCGTGATGATCATTTGCATATTAGCTCTTTATTATATACGATTATTGACTCTATTCCCTGTGCTGCATTTTACATCCCAAATGTTCTCTGTATCATGAGCCTGTTTCATTCTGCTTGTATTTTAGATTCAATTGTTTACAGATATATATTTATTGCAATTTTATTGTTCATATATTTTTATCATTTTTCTTCTTTGCTTTAAAGCAGACCCTTTAACATTTTGTATAATACTGGTTTGGTGGTGATAAACTCCTTTAGCTTTTTCTTGTCTGTGAAGCTCTTTATATGTCCTTTGATTCTAAGTGATAGCTTTGTTGCATAGGGTAATCTTGGTTCTAGTTCCTTGCTTTTCATCATTTTGAATATTTCATGCCAGTCACTTCTGGCTTGTAATGTTTTTGTTGAGAAATCAACGGACAGTCTTAGGGGAGCTCCCTTGTAGGTAACTACCTTTCTCCTGCTGCTTTTAAAATGCTCTGTCTTTAACCTTTGCCATTTTAATTATGAGGTGTCTTGATTTGGGCCATTTTGGGCTCATCTTTATGTGTTTCCTGGACTTGTATGTGTATTTCTTAACCAAGTTAGAAAAGTTTTCCGTCATTATTATTTCAAATAGACTTTCAATCGCTTGCTCTTCCTCTTCTCCTTCCAGCACCCCATGATGCGACTATTGGTATGCTTGAAGTTGTCCCAGAGGCTCCTTACACTATCCTCACTTTTTTTAGATTCTTTTTTCTTTTTGCTGTTCTGATTGGGTGTTTTGTGTTTCCTTGTATTCCAAATTGCAGATTTGATTCTCGGTTTCATCTACTCGACTGTTGACTCCTTGTAAATTATTCTTCATTTCAGTTAGTGTGTCTTTTATTTCTGACTGGTTCTTTCTTATGGTTTTCATGTATTTTTTTGTGCTGTGGAAATTCTCAATAGTTCATTGAGCATCACTATAACCAGTGTTTTGTATTCTGCATCTAGTAGATTGCTTGTCTCCATTTTGTTTAGTTGTTTTTCTGGAGTTTTGTTCTGTTCTTTCATTTGGGACCTTTTTCCTTGTCTCCTCATTTTGGCAGCCACCCTGTGTTTGTTTCTATGTATCAGATAGAGCTCTATGTCTCCCAAGCTTCATGGAGTGAACTTACATAGCAGGTGTTCTGCAGGGTCCAGTGGCAAAGCCTCCCTGTTTACCCGAGCAAGGAACTTCAGATGTGCACTTGCCTCCCAACCTGAAGTTCCCTGTGTACACCCTCCTATTGTAATTGAGTCTTAATTGCTGTTGACACATCAATGGGAGGGATTTACCCCCAGGCTGATTAGCCGTAAGGACTGGCTATGACCACTGTGGAGTATCAGCTGTGCAGGAGCCCACGCCACAGAGCAGTGATTACTTCAGTGGGACTATGGTTCCCCCTGAGTCCTTCCCTTGAATGTGTCACTTTTGCAGGTGGTTGGGTGGTGTTTTGACGTGTTCTGAAACTGTCCATTGGGTGTTACGGCTCTGAGGCCTCAAGGGAGGTGCAGGTCTAGGTTAGCCAATGCCTGTGTTCTGCCTGGGGCCTCCTGGCATAAGCAACAAAGAGATCTGCAGATGGCTGCTACTTGTGCTGTGTTTGGAGGTGCCCAGAGGAGGCCAAGCTGTGAACCAAGGATAGCTGCTGCTAGTGCCAGGCCTGGGGCAACTTAGCAAAAGTTACTGGGCATGCTGAGGCCAGATGCTTCTGGTTTGAGAGATTTTAGGAAAATCTGAAGCATGAGCCAAGACAGGCCATTTCTATGGAAAAGCCACTGGAAACAATTTGGTGGGCCAGCAATTTGGGTGGGGCATGGTCTAGGGAATCACCAGGGTGGGGCAAACAGTGTTAGCCAGTTTGATGGAGTCTCAGATATAGAGCCCACCTGCTGACTCTATGGGGGAAGGGCTCATCAAAGACACACTGGCCTCTGCCAGCACTTTTGTCTGGGACAAAACTGCCTCTCCAGCTTTCACCCTGATGCCAGATAATTCAGTTTCTCCCTCTGTGTCCCTGGGGCTTTTCAACTGCTGCTCCAGTGCTGGAACTCAGAGGGAGTGAGTTGGAGTAAGTCCTTGCACTGGCCCTTTCAGAGGAAGTACTAGGTCTTCAGCAGCTTCCATCTCATTCAGCCTCAATCCCTTCTGGTTTTTACAGCCAGAAGTTATGAGGACTTCTATTCCTGGCACTGGAATCCTGGGCCGGGATAGGGAGAGGGGCTGTGGTGAGTTTGGGACCTCTCGTTCCTCAGGGGGGACCTCTGCAGCCAAGATATACCTCCCAATTTTTATCCACCACATGTGGGTGTGAGATCAGCTTGTTCTTGATGTGGCTTCTTCTATCCTTAGTTGTAGGACTTCCATTTTATAGATTTCAGGAGGTTCTGAATGATGATTTTTCTGTAGTTTGGTTGTAATTTTAATGTGGTGGTGGAAGGAAGTAAATGCCACATTTACCTATGCCACCATCTTGACCCAAAGCTAATTTTATGTTCCAAATGGAGCACAAATGATGGAAAAACTTTATACCTTATTAATAGACAAAGTCAGCTATTGTAAATACAGTTGTTTTTATCTTTCTTCCATATTAACTTCCAAATTTATTAAAAATCCAGCCCAAAATTCTATAAAGATCACTGAATCTCTATGATTAGAGAGCAAAATAAGATTACTTTTGGATTGTATTGATATGGTGTGCATTTATTTCTTTTCCTTTTGGTCTTTCTGCTTCAGCACAAAGCTAATTGCTTATGCATTTACCAGGCCCATCTGCCCAGTTGAAGGAAGAATCTCTAGCTAGAGAACTGCTCTTTTCACAAGTTTGATGAGCTGGTATGCCTGGGGGACATGTCTGAAGTCTCTCTACTGATGTTTTGTCCTGTTTGATTTCATTTTCTTTAAGTGTGAGCAATGTATTTTCTGTTTGTGAATAAGACCAAGGAACATACTTTTTCAATACCCATCTGTAAAATAAATATTTGGCAATGCATTTTTGGTTTTTTATTGATTTTTTATAGAGAAAGAGAAACATTGATTTGTTGTTAGACTTATTTGCACATTCATTGGTTGATTTTTGTATGTGTCCTGACCCTGGATCGAACCCACAACCTTGGTATATTGGGACAATACTCTAACCAACTGATATACCCAGCCAGGGCCACGGTTTTTTTCTTTACCCCTAACTTGGCAGCAGTTAACATCTATCTTAGCAGTTTGCAAATGT